GGGGCGCATAATGGCGATAAAAGTAATGATAGGTGCATAAGTAATAGCCGCCTGTGCCCTTTCGCCAATTCACGGAGCGGACTCGTAAAAAGGGAAACGGAAAGTAATGACGATAATGACGACGCTGAAAAAAGGGGAAAATGGCCGCACTGTTCCGGTTTCCGAGAAACACTCCGACGGGGGAACGCGGGATGGACCGGAGGAGTTCTGGGAAAATCGCAGGCCTCATCCTGGGCTTAGGAGATGATTTAGAAGACCGCGATGCAAATTGAAATGTGGCGACGCGACGCACAGTGAGGAGAAGGCGACACTTTTGAGAGTGGTGGCTGGTGCCCGATTTTGAAAGAGAGGATCAAAATTTTAAAATTCGAAATTTTGACTTTCTTTGAGTGGATAAAAATTTCGAAATTCGAAATTTTGACTTGCTTTGAGGGGATCAAAATTTCAAAATTCGAAATTTTGACTTCCTTAGAGGGATTCGAAATTTTGATTTCCTTTGAGTGGATCAAAATTCCAAAATCCAAAATGTCCATGTTCTTTGGGTGGATCAAAATTTCAAAATTTGATTTGATTATATATCTGCAATCGAGGACTTTTTCTTTATAAGGGCGTACGTATCTTGCACTGCCGCTAAGGTTGTGCAATTTCTTATGGTGTTTTCGGCAGATGAAATTCATTCACAGTCGACTTACGTCCTTACGATAGTGAGGAAAAACTCGGAGTAGATTCAGGAAAAAATTCATGGCAGAACTGTCGGGAAAATTACTTACAACTAGAGGACTATAAGTTGAACAATCTTAGCCTTGGAGGTCTCATACGCCCTTTTCCCGAAAAATGCCTTAATTGAGATTGATCGATTGGGATGTACTTTTGATTTTAACTTGTGATTTGAATGTTAACAAATGAAGCAGAAATGTCCAGGAATCATTGGAAGAAGAATAAGAATTTTTAGTTTTCATTTGCAAACGATTATGTATTATTCAATAATGTCTTATATTCTCAGGCAAATCAGGACTATTTATTGTAATGTTAGAGGAAATGATTACTTTCTTTAAACCACACATGAGTTAAGTCGAACTAGAAGAAGTACTTTGGAAAAAAAAGGGCGGAAAAAGACCACAAATCAATGAGAATTAGCTGGATTAAGTAACTTACCATGTAAGGATTTACTCCTAATGCCAGGTTCACACGTATCTGGAAAAAAGGAAGAATCTCACATAAGTATGCTGACACAAAACTCATCGTGGTAAAAGAACACTCAAAGCAGATGAAAAATAAATGAGAATCACTCGGCTACCCAGAGTCCGAATGCAACAGAAAAAAAAGGACCTTCAATATTTCTTCCAAATTATGACACGTATTAGCTCTCAATTTTTTACGAGCGCAATTCATTCTGCGAAGTTAAAAGTGTTGAGTAAATATGTGCAAAAAATGCATTTACATCGGCTTGGCTAATTAACCTACTTGGCTTTTTTCAGCGAGAACCGTTAGGTATAAGAATGTCGAGCGTCCAAAATATTTAAACGCAGGACGGGTCACTAGAAAACGGGTATTGCAATTAATTTGAGCATATTAAACTGATGGAGAGATCATGCAGAAGCTAAGTGCAATCTTAAAACCTTCCACTTTCGCTTTTACCTTTTTCAGTGATGACGATCCATTCTTAACTCAATTTTTTTTCCAAGTGAAACTTGGATTCAAGTTGACTTTTTCATTATATGTGGCTTTAAATTTTGAAGTTGAAAAAGTGAAGTGTAAAAAAGTCTTTATACTTTTAATTTCATGAAAGAATCCGTGGTAATCTGCAATTTTTCATATTTTTCATTTCACTTGTGAAACCCTGGTTCAATATTACCGTGCCAAGGAGGAACACCGATGCGCACTTAGACGTTGCCACATTCCTCTTGATGAAATATAAATTGAAAACATTAATAGATAAATTATCAGTATTTCTCCTTAAAATTTTGAGACATTTTAGATTGAAATTCAATTAAAATTATCTGGCCAGACTAGCGAATCCCGCAAAACAAAAGTGTGAACATATTCATACTTCAGGACCTTAAAAGTGATCCCCGATACGAAAAATCTGATACGGATCAAACGTTGACGGAGATACAACTATTTTAACCTCGATGTCGTGTTTTTGCCTACTCAGATGATTGAAGGAGAAAGTAACGGCAGAAAAACTGATACAAGTTTTTCAGAAAATTCGTATTTTTTTCCCCTTTCTTTCATAAGACAACACCCGATGGCTCATACAGCGTTTTTCCTCGACATGGCCGAACAGGTAAAATGACCGCATTTAAATGAGAAGGAACTAATTTCATTCAAAAATGAGCCCTGCGATCCATAAAAATACATGAATAATAGGGCTCACGTAAAAATGGACAAAGTTTCTTTCGATTTAAGTGCGTCCGAATATTGTAAAGCTAGTCGATAATAAGGCAACGTGGCGTCTCAGTCGCCTTGTCGACATGGGAATCGATTGAACGTATTCAAATCCAAAGGAACCATATCCACTCTAACATGAGCCCTGAGAACCACAAGAATACATGCGCGACAAAGCTCATGTTATAATGGATATAGTTCCTTTTGATGTGAATACGTCCGATTGTCCGCGGACAGGTGTAGCACCCGGGTTCGACTCCCGAATAACAGCGATTGATTGGCTCGAGCTCAGAGGCGTCGCGGGCCACTCATTGAAAAGGACTTATTTAAATCTGAGGCCTTTAAATGGTTTCCCGGCCCGGTTTTGTTCATCGTGTGTTCCTGTCACGCCGGATTAAGGGCCGCTTTCCCACACGCACCGACGCTGATCGGCCTCCAAGCGTGGTCGTGCTTTGCGATAAATCGATCGATCTGCCATTTAAACTAATGGGATAAGATCGATTATCAGGGTATGCCTTAGTAATCGATTCTTTACCATAGTCTTAAATAGGGAAATATCCATATTCGATGATTCACGCTTTGCCACTGAGCGTGGTAATCGCGTCGGATCGACCGTCGTTTTACCACCGGGGTGCGATGCGGCTTTTTCAAGCTTTGAGATCCCTAAGTTCCGATGGGTGGTTTTGAACAGTGGCGAGGCGTGAATGATCGATATTTCCCCATTTGAGGCTGTGGAAAAGATCGATTATTAAGGTGGCAGTTGCGACCACCCTGTTTATTTTTACATAGTTTTACATGGAAAATCAATCGATATGTCGCGGGCAATTAGCAACCACCGGCAAATTGAAATCTATTCGTGTTGAATCGACAAATCAAAAAATTTTAAAGTGAAAAACGATACAGGAAGTACAGATTATTTTGCTTTGGATTCAAACATACGTTATCCCCTTCTGCTTGAATGTATGGTACCAGCTAGCACACTCGCGAGTTCGTGAAATGTAAGCAATAATCTGCGTTGGGTTTGGTTTGGTCAAGCAACTAAACTAACTCTTTGGCAATGTGGAGAGTATCGCTGGATCTGAAGGCGTTCCAAGCCTCGAATTTCTTCGCTAAAGAAACCTTTACTGTATCGATGTTATTGTAATTGCAATTTGACGAATTGACAAGTACGGAGCTTGCAAATTGCCGGCTATTGTCACTGCCTGCGTCAGATATATCGCAAAACACGCCACGCCAGTCTGGTTTGATGCACGTGTGTGATGTTTCATCATTCAATTTCAAACTCAGTTTTATCGGAGTCCCGAAAATGTCGATCAACTTCTTCAACTGTAACCTTCCATTTATCATGGAGGCGCCAGAGGAAATTCACACAGTAGAAATGCATGCTACCAGCACTGATTCCTCGGTCAAGTCGTTGAAAACGATGCTGAACGTGTTATGTGTAACACATAACGTGCAATAATAAGTATGCATTTCAACAGATGACAAAAGCAATCTAACGCGTGACGTCTTATATCACCGATCAGCAACAAAATCGGACGACAATTACAATCAACGCTAATGTCTCGAGTGGTCGAGGCAGACGTGGGATTTCGAGTGCCATTACGCAAAACTTTTTCTCCTGGAGTTTCCTCTTGTTTTCGGTCCATTCATTCGGAGCCCCCCTTTCCCCTCCCATCCCCCCTTCCCGCCCCCAGCGCCCATGCCTATCCGTTCGGAGCGCCGGCCGCCGAGTTTTCTGTTTTCTTCGCGGCGGATGAATTTGCATGGCGCCGTGAAATCGGGCATGACGCAACCCGTCGTGCATTTTGAATACGAACTGGGTTACCCTCTCGAATGGGCGAATCAAGCGCCGAAAATCGAGCAGAGAGGGAAAACCAAGTCGCACGAGACCGGAAAACAAGGTCGAGTGACACTCAGATTCGAGACTGGGTTGCCTTACTTTCGTTTGAATTATAACTTTGAGGTAGTGTACAACTGTGCAAGTTTAAAGATTCTGTTAATTTTGGCAACGATGCCGCGCATATTCTGAGTATCACACTCGCACGCGTCGAAGAGATATCCTCGCTACCGAAGAGAAGGTCTCACTTCCATTATGCGTTTTACTCTTACAACTAACGACGAAAATATATAGGATCTTCATTGCGAAATGTGGCTCAAATGTGTTTAAAACTCAGATTTATGGGCAGAAACCCGCTTTTGTTTAAAAAATCCAATTTTTGAGATTTACTTCAATTTAAGACGTATTTTAAGGTGAAAGTATCACGGATTTACCTAAATGCGTCTACAGAAAGCAGGCAAGAACAAAAAGTCTACATAAACTGAGAATCGGCGGATATTTTCACTGTTGCAAATAGGAAAAGTTTACAAAAAGCATGGAGTAAAAAAGTGGTCAAAATCGTCGAATGGAACCAAAAGGCGCGTACACCTCAATACTTCATGATTGTATAACCTTGGTAAAAGAAGAGGGGTATGTCTCACAGAGTTAAGAACACCGATCTGATCTTAATAGCGTCATGATAGTATACCCGGCAATTATAAGTTTTGACGCCTGACATGAAAGGATGGTGGCCAGTAGTGGCACGTGAATAGATTAGTATAATTTTGATTTCCGTTGGGCTCTGGTTCCTCACTTTTCTTGTGTCATCATCAAATATCTTCATAATTTCTAAGAATTAGCTGGAAGGGCCGAACGGATCCTAAACGTTTGATGTGAAGACAAATCGTCGCCTACCCCACATAAAGGCGTAACTACACTCTGCAATGAACCTTGACCTCCATACATTTCAACGCTTTTCCGGGCTCATCTCAATATGTAGTTACGCTCTTACGTCAGCCAAGCCACGGAATCAATGTTAAAAAGAGACTCTGTTTCAACATTTCTTAGAAGAAGGAGGGAGATAGAGCATGGATACAGAATTAGGTCCGCCTCTCCCGATACTTTATACGACACCTCAGAGTAAAAAAGATCACAAAATTGAGAGCAGCATATACATTGCAGGCTCACTTTAATCAAACGGAGGACTAAACAAGGAAATTCAGATGATGTAACCACAGTCATAGTTTTTTCGACCTTTTACGATGCGTAATTCGCAACACTCGCGAAACAAATCTTCCAGAGAGGATTGAGCAATATTCGGTCAGAAATAGGTGCGAGAGCCTGTAATCAAGATGGGAGGGCGACGAAGGGGTACCCGTAGCCCCCCGAGGGGGGGGGGGCAAGGGTGTCCAAAGAGCGGGCTTATTCAAATCATGAATCGATTAGCCCGCGCTTGGTCTTGGATGATTAATCAAAGAAGGAGCCGGACTCTAAGGGTGGGGGAGGGGGGATTTGAGTTGGAGATGCGGACGCTTCGGCCTAATGACATCGTGATGTGTTTCTCGGTGGCGGCGGTGAATGGTGCGATTCGGGGTTGCCACATGCCGAGCTCGGGGTACCGGGGAAAAAATTCACTTATTTTTGGACGAAACAAAAAAAACTAAAAGTTCCAGGATTGCGACAAAAATGGCGATCTTAATTTGTTTCTTTGCAGGGGCGGTGAACGGTATACGATTAAGGGTTGCCTGATGTCGAGCACGGGGTACTACGGAAAAAAACTGACTTATATCTGCACAAAAAGGGAGCAAAAGTTGTAGATTTGCGATCACGATTATGATTCATGTGAGCCTGATCAATGATAGCTTTGGAGACTTGAACGCTGAGGTAGAAAAGTAAACATTATCGTCAGGCTCAGCTACATCAGGGCAACATCCACTTATTTTTGGCCAGAAAGAAAACAAAAGTTTCAGGTTTGCGATAAAAATTA